CTATAGGTACGAGTACGACTTCTTTCTTACTAAAACATTTTGCATTTGTTGCTAATCAGCTAAGCTTACAATGTGCTGGAATTGTGTGAATTTTCATTTTTAGTAACAGCTGTATCGCTCGTTGAGCTAATGCAGCACTGTTAGCACATATCAAGCTGCTCCAATAAGGTGTTGAATATCCAGATATGCAAAGAAGGAAGAAAGGAAGTCAGCAGTCTGCGGATAATCCATATCTGTTCCTAGCTGCTGAGCGTTATTCTGAAGCGAATTAGGAGCTTACCTTTATAAGTATTCGGCATATTTTAGGAATGGCAACACGGGCTGTAGCTGGGAACCTGTTAAAACAAAGTGCTGGGATGTTGAAATAGCACCAGATTAAGTTTGCCGATCTTGGGGGGCATTATGATATTGTAAAGCCACCTAGACGTCGACAACGTAACACCAGTAAGTCGAGAGTCGAGCGCGCAAGTTTTGCACATAAAAAAAACAAACTCGCTTTAGAATGACGCTCAGCGGCTAGTAACAACATTGTCTCATCTCAAAAGACGAATCTAAGTATCTTTTCCTTGTAAGTATGATGTTAGAACTTTACCCCTGTATGTGCTCTTATATTCGAGAAATACCAAAATTCACTGAAAAACCTGTAAAAAGTGGCATTTTGGCGTTTTCGAACCATCTTTGTTTCTCAATTTTAAGCCCCGATAAAAATTCGCCAAATGCTTGGGTACTACTATGTGGTGTCTACTATATATTTAAGTTGGAAGTCCGTACGGATTTTCTGAATGGAGATCCATTTTTATGGTAGCTGGAAAATTTTGATTTTTGGCCCCAGATTTTACTTGTATTACGACTTAGGGGAATCTTTGGTAGTCTTGTTGTAGAGCTTGCTCCGCTCTATCAAATAACATTCTAAGTCTTTAGGAAAACAAAAACAGCTCAATTTATTTAAAAATAAGTTTTTGGGACAACCTAATATTTCATGCCCGAGGAAGCAACTGATTGAGTGCGGGCCTTTTATATGATTTGCAGAGGCTAGTCGGTTATCAAATCAGTGCCTTTATCCTTCCAGAGTACTCTGGTTCCAATTTACTGTCCCAGAGGATAGAAGGCTTGGTTGGCTCAGGGTGGGATCGAACATTGGTCCGATTTGGTCATAGCGGTGCTCACACCACTACGCCACGTTTTTGAGGCTAGCTGACGGACTATAGTGTTTTGAACACCATACTCGAAGTCGCAAGATCTGCAGTGCCTTGAAAGTTTGGTTTTGCAAAGTTAGGGTGCCTTCATACCGCACCGTCAGCTGCCGCTAGCAGCCCGTAGCAGCCGCCAGCAGCCGCCAGCAGCCCGTAGCAGCCCGTAGCCGCCGCTGGCCGCTTTCGTTATATAAGCAAAATTATCAGAATCTTACAACTTTGATTGCTACTGTCTACTTTTCATCTTCTACACTTTTCTTTTGTTGCCGCCAATACGCAGTTTGATCACAGATCATATATGTGTCCAATGTTGTCATTACCTTCTCGCCGTATGGTCATCCTGTTGAACCATAGTTTGCAGAAGTCCTTCAGGTGTAATTCGCTCTAACTTTGAATGCGTCCGGTTCCTGCAGGTGTGCAATGTTTTTGAGTATGCTTTTGTTTCAATTTTTCTTGGCTATTGGTGCATATCTTACCTGGATTCTACTTTTCTCAAGTTCGCCGGGATTCATTTGCGGGTTGAGTTCTTCTGGCTTTGATAATCGCTCACGTCTTTTTGAATAAGACAGATTGCAAAAGAATGTGAGCGCGATAGGATACAACGGAACAGAACAATGAACGCAAGTGTATTGGGGGGAGTTGAACTGCATATTAGCGTAATAAGAAGAAATAAGCAGAGAAGATGAAAAGCGTAAGCAGGAGCACTTAAAGTTGTAAGATTTTGACGATTTTGCTCCTATAGAAAAGGCGGGCAGCGGCGGCTATGGGCTGCCACGGGCTGCTGGCGGCTGCTGCGGGCTGCTGGCGGCTGCTGCGGGCTGCTGCGGACTGCTGGCGACTGCTGCGGGCTGCTGCGGGCTGCTGGCGGCTGCTAGCGGCGACTCCGGCGCGGTATGAAGGCACCCTTAGGCAAGGAAATTTACTATTACAAAAGAGAGTCACGAAGTCACGAAGTTGTTAAATAACTGCCATAAATTCTCCTATATTTGAATACAAAACAATATTAGGCCAGGACTCAAAAAATTGTTGATTTTCTTCGGACTACTCAAGAGCTTTGGTACCAACCTAATTTAAGGCTATCACATCATGCTGCAAATTCTCCTAGAGTCTTTTATTAGCACCTCCGAATATTATGGTTGTGAAACCCCAGTTTGTCACAGATACAGACAATAATAAACTTGTTGTTTCATTTCGGGAGCGAAGCTTTTTACAACTAACGGTTCCAAGTTCGTAATGACTGCTGTATTTTCCTACAATCACACTTTATAAAAGATATCGTTAAGAAACGGATAATTTCTTTCCGTACTCTGCTGTGGTGAAAGCAACGGCTGTCCACCCATCCAGAGGTAGTACATATTTCAAATGAAACGAGGTCGCACTAGCCAGTTTGCGCTCATACTTCCGATGAAAGTATGTAAGGCTGAAATTTACGAAAATTTTCACCTCCTTTGACGATTAGCCCTTTTACAACCCCGAGGATAAGGTGACCTTGGTCTGTCTTTATAATAGAACTAGCTGGCTTACCCGGCTCCGCCGTATCCGGACCAAACTTGGCACACATACACTTCGGGCCCCGGCGGGTGTCACAGTCCACTTTTCGTTATCGATCGATGTCGATTTTACCGATTTTTATCGATTTTTTTGCAGAGTTCACCTACAGGGCTAGGAGTTGGCACAGGGGGGGGGGGGGGGGAAGTGAGCATGGGGATTCCGAATACAACATTAGTTTTCAGGATCGTCCATTACTTTTATCGATTTTATCGATTTTTTGAAAATTTGAGCTAGGGGGCTGGAATTTGGCACAGGGGTGTAACCCTTGGGGATGATCAGCATGCTCGATTACCCCCCTGTGCCAACTCCCAGCCCCCTAGCTCAAACTTTGCAAAAAAATCGATAATAGTAATCGATAATCCCGAAAACCAATATTGTATTCGGAATCCCCATGCTCGATTATCCCCCTGTGCGAACTCCCAGCCCCGTAGCTCAAACTTTGCAAAAAAAATCGATAAAATCGATAAAAGTAATCGATAATCCTGAAAACCAATATTGTATTCGGAATCCCCATGCTCGATTACCCCCCTGTGCCAACTCCCAGCCCCGTAGCTCAAACTTTGCCAAAAAATCGATAAAATCGATAAAAGTAATCGATAATCCTGAAAACCAATATTGTATTCGGAATCCCCATGCTCGATTACCCCCCTGTGCCAACTCCCAGCCCCGTGGGTGAGACACCCGCCGGGGCCCGTAGTGTATGTGTGCCGAGTTTGGTCCGGATCGGTTCAGAAATGGAATTTTCTATTCGGAACATACGTACAGACATACATACATACAGACAGACAGACATACAGACAGACAGACAGACAAACAGACATTCAGCTTTATATATAAGATATATGGTGCTTCAAATTTAACACATTCACGACGATACGACCCACCGGTGGGTCGTACGTGCCCTGCCGTTTCGGATAATACTACCCAACAGGGGTAGTATGCTTGTTGAAATTTTTTGATTTTACTGAATTACGACGAAACTTTTCAGGCAAACTGAATCTTCTGTACACATCTCTCAAAATACTTCCCAAAAGATTAACACTTCAAACCGTGAGACCCATCAGAGGCCAGAAAATATAAAGCAAACTCAATATTGCAAAATTTGCTCTGGTCCGAAATGGCAGTCATCGAAAAATCGCCTTGTCGTGAATGTGTTAACACCGGTCTTTTTCTTCAGGTCTGGAAACTGACTGTAGGCCTTGTCGATCGACTCGCTTAGTTCCTGAAGACTCTCATATTTGTGTAGACGTTGGATCAGCGCGTACAAGCGTAATATGCTGTAATTGAAAGATTTCGAGGAACGATTTATAAAAACCTCAATCAACTGCGAACTGCGAACTGAAATTTGCGAATACACATCAAAGCGCATCATTTTTGGCATGAACAAATTTATTGGCACTACATATCAAATTTGAATGGAACGAAGAAATTATTGGAATGAAATGGAAATGCAGTTGCTGAACTCCATCACTGAACCAGCAAACTGTATCGTTTCATTTTCGTCGGCAATGCTGTGAACGAAATATTGAAGAAAGACTACGCTGCAATGGTGATTGCTCATGTTCTTCTTTAGGAAGTATCTCTACATGGAAATGCTTGAAGTCAAAAGTTGCAGGATTGGGTACTACAGTCAATAAATAGAAAAATCCTTGAAACACGCACTTAGTGATATGAGACTCATTACGAATGGTTGCGGTAACTAATTATCCTTCTCTTGTCAGATGCTTAGAACTTAAACGTGCAAAAATCTGGACTGAAAGATTTCGACGAATGATTCACACAGTCATTACGCAGCATTTAAAAAAGGAATTTTTACCCTTTTATCATTTCTATAAAAAGACTTGGGTCCTAATAAAACCAATCAAATTCAATTAAAGCTTTGCTTTCGTGACGAGTTCTTGCAATGCATTTGAAAGTAAGACTGCTTTGACGCCCCCTTTTGCAATATCGATAGACTGCAAATATAACAAATTCTTCGTACCTTGACAAAGAGTACGAAAAGAAGTGGTTTTCGAGTGTGTCCAGCCTTCAACGACTTTCTCAAATTCTTCTGCATTTCACTTGGCAAAAAATATAATTGGCCGTAGCCTTTTAGATACTGGTAGCCTTTGAAGACTGACAGTCATTCATAACTAAATCTAGCACTGTATAGTCTACGGTAGGAGACGAGGGTTTATCGCAAGAAAAGTCACTTCCGTCAAGCCTTCTTGCTTGACCTTAAAATAACAAAAAAGGGGAGAACACGAAATTATGGAATCAATTCAACATCATGTTTCCAACCCAGTCCTTGCCGAAGTGTATCTGGCATGTCATATTACGCGATGGCAAGAAGGAGCGAGTACGATTCAGGACCTCTTCATTTAGCTTATAAAGGCAACGACCAACACTGAGAGTGAGATTTTCGAAGAGGGTGCCTGCAACTGCTCTATCATCCTGCATATAACGAAGATTGATACACTCACCACCAATCCAAAAAGGGGAGCTAGTTCTGTTACCTCGACAACGTTCGGGAAGTTTAGTGAGATCAAGGTGAAGGAACCGATAAGGAAAATTGGTAGTCGTCTGTATATCAAAATTATTACATATGTCCATCATCGTGATAAAATATTTTACATTGAGAATTCCTAATCCGACGTACATAGCGTTAGTATATACTGGATTCTTTATAGGCTCGTAAACTCGCATCACCTCGCCGACTGAAAAAGCAATCTTTCAAATTGAAATCAACGGACTTGTTACCAAGTGTTAATACAGACTGATATGGAAAGCGAGATGATGTAAAATGCCAGAAAAGACTGCAGTCTAAATGATTTGATATGTGACTATTGAAGTGGTTTTACGCGGTATAATTGTGGAACATTCTTTTTGCTTTTCGAATTATTCTTGTCTTGAGCATTTTAAGTGCTTTAACAAAGCTTTAGTTAAATCTTGAGCGAGAAGAAGATCGTATGTTTTTGCGCAAAGTTAGAGCAGTTACCTCCACAGTTTTTGAAGGTTTCCTAGAAAAGTCATTTACCTTACATTTTTCAAATCATTCTCTAAACAGAGCAAAGGTTTGGTTTACGACATCATTTAGCATGTTTTGGTGCAAGTCATAGACGATAGTATCAATGTAAATCGTCTAATAACTCACAATAATTGCTCTTGCAGAAATCCTCCATGGTCTGGCGGTAATCACATTCGCATGGTTCAGGTTCAGCAGCAAACATAACGTCACGGTAGGTCACTAATACGTAAACAAACATTGTGATAGTGATTATCAATGAGTTAAAGGCAGTGTCCGGGCAAAAACTCGATTTCAAGATTTTGTGCTTTTCAGGGCCTATTCGCTACGTGAATCCGAAAATGCACACTGAAGAGCGCGAAAACGGCGAAAAACGGCTCTAACCCAGGAGGGAAATCAGTGGCCGTATTCATCAACGAAACCCGTGGGTTCCGGAACCCACTGGGTTAGTGCTTTTGATGAATATCGATTCTGCTCCAGGGAAGAATCGATATTTATCAAAAGCACTAAGCCAGTGGGTTACGGACCCCACGGGTTTCGTTGCAGCAGGTAAGCGGAGTCCTCCCCACTGCGAATTCACGCTGCCAGCTTCCGGAGCAATCTCTTAAGCGATCTTCTCGCTTCCGATTTCAAGTCAATCATTCGCACTTGGTCGGTAGCGATGTTAGGACGGCTAGCGAAAGCGAGAAGACCGCTCCGGAAACTGGGAACGTGAATCCACAGTGCGGAGGACTCCGCCCACTTGCTGTTTTCCTCCTGCGCTAGAGCCTTTTTGTCGTTTTCGCGCTTTCCAGTGTGGATTTTTGGATTCGGTATGACGAATAGGCCCTTATAAGCACAAAATCTCAAAATCGAGTTTTTGCCCGGGCATTGGCTTTAAGTATCACCAACTCATAGTAATTATGAATCACTCTGACTTATAATAACTCTTCACATGACTTACTGCATTCCTTCTTGCAGAAGCTCTTCATGCCTTTTTCAGATACACATTTGAAAAGTTCAGGTGGATCAGCTTGTGCTTTCTCTATACCGGATGCAGCTGCGCAGTAGTGGGAGATTGATAAAAGGAAGATAGAAAATAACATGGTATTGCTCATGGTTGTAAACGTTCTGACAACGCTAATCACGAGGCTGAGTGACTAGGTGAAGCACACAGTGCACGATGCTACGGCAAACATTCGTATTTGTATCGCTCCCGGTTCCTGTCACCCCCAGACCAGTTTTAATTACGCTCGCTTTGTGACTTTTCAAAAGTGATCCATGACCAAAATAGAGTTCAGCTCGCTTTCATAAGTTTCATTTTAGTGCACTTATTGAGTCATTTGAAATGGATATGGGGATAAGCGAGCTACGGTATCTGCATAAAGGCTCCGTCACAAGCTACGGGCACTTCATTTTTTTTTACAGTATCTGCAGTGAGCGAAGGTCATTTACGAGTCACATGTGAACTCAATGATCTTGTTTTGCGCAGTGTATAAAATGGCGAAGCGATCAGCTATGTCAGTTCCCCTACGACCGATGTTTGCCTTCATAACTGCGCTGACCGTGACTCTCACTTTTACGCAGAGTCTCTTTGTCAGAGAAAGCTCCGAGAGCATCGCCAGGCTTGCGCAGTGTCCTGAGGATATAATGATCTACCGTGATGTTAATGGTACAGTACAACGCAGCATCGAAGGAATAGCGCAAAAGCACGCCTACTCCCCTGTTCTGGTGAGTTGACGTACATACACTAGCAGCGTGTGGCAGGAAATAAAATTTGCAGGCACGCAGTTGCGAACTTATTAACATCATCAAAGAGTACATATCTGTGTTCGAAAAAAGCAACGCCGACGCGGGCCTCGTAAGCTTCGTGGAGACGTTGAACCAAAGGGGTCTAGTGGGTTCGATAATAAGTTAAATTTGACTCAAAGCATCAAATGATAGCAGTTTAAGAAAGTATACAAAAAGAGCTATTCTGAGCCTCCTCGTGAAGGTATAATGGTTTCCCGTGATGTGATCGATTGCTTCTGGGGTGGGAATGGCGATACTTGGGTAAGTCGTCAAAGGTTCAAATAATAAATTGTTGGTGTCCAATGCTGCGTCTGAAAACTTTGTTGTTTGTCTTCATGAGGCAATTCAAAAGAAGCAAAATCAATGACAGATGGACGCCATGCGTCCAAGTCTCCAGCAGTCTCCCTGGAGTATTTACAAACTCTTCGGCAACGTTTGGGATTTCTTATTAGAGAACCAATGATTGAACGAACAGAACTTTCCAATCAGCCTCTTACCGAGTAATCAATTAATTAATTCAATTACCTTAGAATGCCATTGTTTTTGGAAAAACCATTGCGCACGGAAATGTAACGAGCCATCGTTGAGCAAAGTATAAAATTTCAGCCACCTTATTCCTTATTCGTGTAGTGTGAGTCTGTCCTTAAGTCTGTTGAGAATATGGGTCGCAGTACTTCAAGTCGTCCACATGGGTTATACAAGTTCTTGACGCAACTATAAGCTCGCAAGTGTCCCGGCGACTTTACTTCACAAGCTCGCTTCTCACTGTCATAAGCTGGTTTGAGAAGTTTCCGACAGACCAATTCCGTACCCAATAGTACCACCTATATCTCAACTCGACGAGTCGCTCCTGTCATAAAGAAATGCCTTTCTGATATACAATACCCAGATTTCCGCTTATGGTAGGTCACCCGATATTCTGATTTCAATACGTACATTGCCCGCTCGACGCTGAGAATTGTCTCCTACGCGTATTATTCTACTTTGAACCGAAATATGAAAACGAGTACGAAATACGAACTAATTACGGAGTACGCGAATTTCAGCGAACTCGACGGAGTTTGCGGTCATTTTGGTCATTTTACTCATTCTATTTTTGATAATGCAGCTTGTGCAGCTTGGCAGTAATTTACTACTGACTACCCATTTATCTACTTTTAGGGTAAACAAGCATTGTTGTTCGGATGCGCCGATAACGGAAGGAACACCTCGTATACAATCGTGTGTCTTTACTTGACTAGACCAAACACTCCAGGGAAAAACTGTATTTAATGATTGTCATATGTTTCACTTTTGATGCGATTTTTCACTTTTATGCCTTCCTAATACCTTTTTTCCCTTTCGAGTTTTCTCTCAGTTTCATCTACGTTTTCTCCAATGCATGGAAAACTGCATTTTGCGATGTAGGCTGAGTACAGCAGCAAAGCTTTTTGTTGGGTCAAATAATCTTTCTCCTTTCTCTCCGCTCATAGATAAACATTTTGTATTTCTGCCCCTTCCGTTTGGGGCATGTGCAGGTTTTCGTATCGATCCTCTTAGGGACGCATGCATAAATATCTCCACCAGGAGGGGATCAAAGCTTGAAAGAAAGCTTGATATCCAAAAGCTTCAGATATCTGGGTTTCAGATTGTCCATCTATCCGTAAGTATTCCCACCATCTTCTACTGCGAACATATTGAATAGGAGTGAGAAGCTAAACAAGCCGCGTATTCCAGCTTTTTGTATGACCCCCTGATGATCCCCAGTGGCCGACCGTCTTTTGTTTAAAGTCTCTTTTACAGCGGGTGTTTGAAAGTCGGATTCTTTCTTCGAAGTTAAAGAAAACATTCCAAAGCTATACCGATTATCTAACCTCAGCAGTGCTAAGCATGTTGCTGATAAGAACAAATGTTGTTTTGGAATTATGAAAGTTGCGATGAACCACGAGTTCAAGATTGGGGTTTATCGAGAAATTCGATATTCCGAAAACTCACTAGTTCTTCAGCAACATGCTTACTACTGGGTTAGACGAACAATACAGTTTTGGAAGGTTTTCGTTGACTTTGAAGAAAGAAAAATGACTTTGAACAAAAGACGATCGGCCACTGGGGATCATCAGGGGATCATACAAAAAGCTGGAAAATACGGCTTGTACAGCTGCCTGCTCCTTCCAGTATGTCCATAATGAAGGATGTTGAGAATACTTACGGGTATATACGGTGTGAAATCCAGATATCAGGAACTTCAGGATATGAAGCTTTCTTCCGAGCACCCCTTCCCGGCGGGGTTAATGCATACGGTTCTTAAAGGCAGTGTCCGGGCAGATTTGGACATTTTCGCATACTATCGTAACCGAGACTATCGCGCAAATCCACCTTTCAAACACCACTGTAAAAGAGAAAATTAGGCGCAGAAAACATCAAGCTTCGAGAACCACGCCCACTTCCTCGTCCGACCCGCCCCCTTGAACGAAATCTCCCCAGCCCCTGACGTGTTTTTACGTGGCAAACTCATCAAACAGTGTCTACTTGTTAATGTTTATTTTTGACAGTTACATTATTAAGAGCACTCGTCCATGGTTTTCAGGAAATTGCCTTAAAGATGGGGTTTTTTGAAAAATTCACGTATTTGAGTGCGATATTAGGAATCAGCGCCATAGAAAGGCATGGATAAGGCTGGGTCGAGAGGTCGAGATTCTGCCCGGACGCTGCCTTCAAGGGCTAGCTTATCTAGTTGAAAGGAAGAAGTCTAGATAGAAGATTATTTCTGTTTTGAGCGTTTTGGATCTTATTTGTTTAAGCATATTCAAGCTCGTCTAATCTGGAATGGAATAAAAGGTGCCAACTTTCAAATGAACTCATTTGGGTTTATTATCCACACTATATTTAGGTCCGAATCACATGAAAATTCTGTCATTCAAATAAAGCATTTAGATATATCCACAATCGAATTTCGATACTCGGGGTTCTTCCATTTTGGAATAGAATCGAAAACTCAAATAATCAAAAAACGAGGGTTCGAACAAAATTAAAACTCGAATTAATAAGAAAAAGGTTTTTTCAATAGATTTTATTCGATTGTTTTATTCGAATTCGTGTTCGAATGAAATCCGTGTTCAAATTATCCGAGTTTGTTGCAGGGCCAAGTGTTGAGTATCTATCAAGCTCGCTTTATTTGCGTTTTTTCCCGCAAACTCGAATATGCATCTTTTTGCATGTAATCACCTTTGAACTGTATCGACATTGCATTCCTCCAACTGCTTGCGACAGTAAAAAAATAGACATGGATTCTGGAATGATATCCACGAGAATCCACTCAAAAATGGGTTTTTCCGGATGAAGCGCGAGTAAAATGGGCTTAGTCCATGCGATAAGATATCGATAAGATATAGATAAGATATACACCCGCGAACTCATTCATTCCATACAATAATGCTCTAGAAACCCTTCTTTAGCTTGTCTGAATCTGTTTACGCTTTTTAGTAAAATCATTCCCAACATACTAGTCATATCCAGCCAAACTAGACTTTACATTACAATGTCAGTTTCTCGTGGTATTCTATTTTTCCTCATTGCTTTGCATGTTGCAAAATGTCATTTGTGATAACTATGCATTATATTCAATTACTTCCAATTTAACTCACAATCAGAATCAAAGTATTGGGATGTCCCGTAATTTCTTACCGTTTTTGTCTTAAACATCAGCATTTCTTGAGAACTGGGACCCCTTCAAAGTTTACAAATATATGGTCGTACTTATGTATATGAACTATATGATTACGTGTGTGGGAGGAGCTCAAGATGTCTAGAGGCGGAGTTTGCTATTTCACCCCATTCATTTCTTTATTTCTAGCCATGGAAAAAATAAGAAAATAGCATAATTGAATGTGCGATGTATCCAGCACGCGCTAGAATAAACGAAAAATTTTCAGGAGATTTTGAGGCGGAGATACGATTTTTGAAAGAAAAGTTCGTTTTTAACTGCTATCAGATTTCAGCTCAAAACTTCCGGTGAAATACGATTTGGGCGGATTCTTCATAGATATCTTGTCGAGCTTGCTTTGCCCTGTCGAATGATTACGCAAGCCACAGTTGAAGAAAAAATAAAAAACGGCAAAAAAATCATGGGACACCCTAATAGTTTCCACTTATTTGAGACTTCTACTAATTTGTCCACTTTTTTCAAGACTCCTACTAATTTACCCTAGAGCAAAGTCGTAAATTGTACTTTGCGCAGAAAGCAAATTCTTGTTATATTTGCACTCAAAAAAGCGCTAAGTTTTCTTGTCTAAGATAAACCTTATACTACGTACAATCCTTAAGCTTCTAACTCGAAATCAGCTGAATTACAGGTTTACAAAAGACTGATGGCATCGCATTGCTTCAGTTTAGCTCTTTTTCCCTTTTACCATTAATGTTCAATTATAACTCTATTCCTTCTTCAAACCTTATCAAAACAACTTTCAAACCATCTCAACGCATAATAGGATTAGTGCCAAAGACAATTTTTCTACTATTCGTAATTCTTTTTTAAAAGTAAATTCTATAGTTTTCAACTCGGTTCAGCAGAAGTTCGTGCGCAAATTAGAAGAAATTCTAAAACTTCCCTCTCAACTAATTTCATGCTTTGTATTCAAGATAGACAGAAATTTGCTTTTTACGATAGTTATTCAAAAAAGACCTTTCATTGTCTAATCTCAAGGAACCAAGATTCCAAACTGCACCGTAAGCTGATTTTGAGTCTGGTCGTAAAAAAATGTTGGAAATGTCGTCGTTCAGCTCCAAAAATTTGCAAACGTTTTCTTCATGGCGGTACCTACCTCATACACTGCAGTAACATCTTGAATTTTCATAGAAAAGCTGAGACGAAAAATGTCATCCTGCAGAGAAAGTTCTTTTATTACTACTTTTTCTTGACAGGAGTACAATTCAAAGACTAAAATATCCTATAACTGCGCATCAAACAGTGCTATGGTGAAAAGTTCCGTTATAATTATAACATAACCTCCTCGATATGACATTTTTCACAATATTTTGTCCCGTTCATTTCCGCGAACAAGGCGTATGAAACGCAACGCATGGACTATTGGTATGCAGAACTTTTGAAAGAGTTACTGCGGCTAGCTAGCGGTTTCCTCTCTTGAATCGCACCCAAAATAAGAGGTAAGCGCCAGTTTGAAAATTTAGTTCTCCAAAAGGTCAATGAAGGATGGCTTTTGTATGATTAAATAAAACGCGAATTCTTAAGTCGGAAAAACTACGAGTCTGCAAATGATGACTTCGTAAATTTTCTACTTTAGGACTTC